AAAGAGGGCTCTGAGTTAGGAGGTCACCGTGATTAGGCCTAGTGCCAGGACGTTTGAGATTTCCAAGGAGCCTCCTTGAGTCAGTGTCCAAAAATGTCCCGGAACCGCAGGGAGCCTCTGTGCCTCCCAGGCCAGTGGCCGGTGAGAACACAATGTGACCATATTGCTTTGACTGTGGCCATGTGGTGGCGAGGAAGCCCCGACCCCCTTCCGGCCTCTTTGTCCCCTTTAGGGCTCCCTCTGGGGGCTCCTCCTAGGCCGCCTGGCTGGTCTTGACTCTGAGGGGAAGGAGTAAACATGTTGGGACTCTTTATTAGTTTATTTCAGAAGATGGAGCCTGTTTGTCCCTGGGGCCCGTCCCTCTTTTATGGCCTCCAGCCCTTCTTGACAAATTCTAGCGACTGGAGAGAAAACCTGCTTTCTACAGCGGATCATTAAAACACCGCCATAAAACCCAGGGCCATAAAATATTATTTGCCTGGCATAAAAGGAGGGGGGGTGGGCGAGATTTTCCCAGAATGTCAACCCCGGCTCTGCTTTCTCCCACTGGGAACGGCGGCACAGGGATGAGATGGTTCATAAATTCCTTATCTTGCACTCTGTTTTGTGAAATAACCCTGTTGGGAGAGCAGCCAAAAATATTGATTTATTTGTTCCACAGACTCAGAAGCATTTTTAATGAGGGGAGCGTGGTGATGCCTTGCTAGTGTGTCTGCAGATGACTCAATCTGTGGACATACACCCAGATACACACGAGGTGCCTGCGGGGAAAGGTGGGGATCCAGGAGCTGGAGATCTGCGGAAGAGAGCCTCTGGGGATGGAGATGGAGATGGAGAGGATGGATTCCCCTCCTTCGCACTGTCCATTGCCCGGCCAAAGCAGTCAAGGCCCATCTTGGAAGGAGCTTTACAGACATTTTTCTCTGGAAATAACCTTTGCATCCAGGCATGCATTTATTTGGTCATTCAACCAATATTATTGCGCAACTACTAAGTGCCAGGCATGGGGGCCACAGCCGTGAACACACAGCCACGGAGCTTAGTCCATTGTCACCATGTCCTCTCAGCACACCCTTGATTCCTATCATCAGATCCGGCTCACAACCCTCCGCCTGAAGTCCTGGGAGTCGATAGGTTTGTCAGAAATTTTGGAATTTTTTTCTCGAAAGATAAAATAGGGCATAGGATGATTTCGTTTGCAGACAGCCTCCTTGAATTCTGGGGAAGGACCCAGTCATCCAACACTGTCCATATTTCTTCACGCCAACTGGGATAAATGGAGACTATCAATGGCCTTGTCACGTGAGGTCTAGTTTTGCCACCAAAGGAGTGGCAGAAATGTCTGTTGTCAGAGCTGCTTTCTGTAGAAGAGCAGGTGTTCGTGCCCGACCCACCCCACGTGTTTCATGGTCATGCCCATTCATGCTCCCCACATCCCCGATTTTCAAGGTCTTCCTTTGCATCGTCACTGCTTCCCTACCAGGGAGGTCATTGTCTTTCTGCTTTTCTTTGCTGTGTGACAGGTCATTGTCTTCCCCTGGTTTTGTCTGTTGTGTTGCTGCTGCTGTTGTGTATGTTTAAGGGGGCTCTGAGGCACCTGGAGCCTGAAGGACTTGTCCAAGCTTTCACAGCTGGGACAGGAGATTGGAACTGCAGATGTCAGAGTTCAAACTCGTAACCACTATCTCACATCACCTTCACCAAGGGAAGGAACAAAGCAGGAAATAAAACTGTTGGGGTTGTGTAAACACAAACAAGCAATGGCAATTGGAAAGAAACAGAAAAATTACCTAGATAATTCAGAATCAGAGCGAATCATTAAGGTCTGCAGCTCGGGAGCCAGCGTTTCGGGGCTGATTGCAGGACAGGAGCACATTCTTACAGGAAAGGCCCTTTCCTCCTTAGGAACAGGATCTTCTGAGCACGCTGCCTGCAGGCACTCAGCACCCTCTGGGAGCTGCGTTCTTAACCAGTTCATTTCCTGCCTCCTCTCAGTGCCTCTGCCCATGAACTGGGTCCGAGGAATGGATTCTAGGGGCATCCTCTGTGGTGCCTGCCCAGAGGCACTGAGCTTCCCCAGCCAGGAGAACCCAAGGTGGCAGTGGCTGGGCAAAACAGAGTGGGGAGAGCGCCTGGGGAGGATGAATTTGCCAGGCACAGAGCCCTCTTGCTTAACCCTCATCCCCCATGGGCAGATTTCAGGAAAGACTGGAAAACTGGAAGATATCCACCTGCTGGTTAAGCGGTGAAGGCCTAGAGAGAAAGAGAGGAAAGCAGACTCAGGAGGTGGAAGGAGGTCCCCAGGGGGATCTCTGATAACCTTGGGCTCCCTCTTCCCTGGAGAAAGAGAGCCAGCCCCTGGGAGCAAGGGCATCTCTTGCAATTGGTGGAAAGCCCACACTTGACATTGTGATGTGCCCAGCAAGGGAGGCCAGGGTGGCCCTGGGCCAGGGCTATGGAGGGGCCCAGTCAGCAGAGACAAGTAAGGAGCAGGTAGGGCCAGCCAGGGGTGTAGCTGGGTCGCCAGAATCTCTCCCTGCACAGGCTGGGGTGATCAGCTAGGGGTAGGACGAGGGCAGGGAACTAGAAAAACAAAACAGCCACTACCCCAAGAACCCCTGGCTATGGATTTTGCTCCTAGGTCAAGTGCATGCCACACACACAGATGACTGAAATTGAAGTGTGTGTGAGTGTGTGTGTGTGTGTGTGTGTGTGTGTGTGTGTGTGTGTGATTTCCACCGGGAATGTCTGGAGAATGGGGAGGACTGAGAACAAGAATTGTGCTCCAGTCTGAGGCATTGTTTGGAGGCCTTAAAGTGGGGGTCACTCATCCACAACCCTGCCCTGCCTGAGTCCAGGTGTCTGGAAGAACTCAGAGCCCCAGTGCCCGGAACCCAGTTCTGCTGAACTTCGCAGGCTTCTTTCTCACCTTAGGACGCTCACCAAGATACACCTGGCAAGACGGGGCATCCCATTAGGATGCTCCAGCGACCTAGTCAGATGCTCAATCTCGCTCCCAAGCACCCAAATCTACTATCCTGGGCGTGTAGCAGGATACCTGTGCCTACCTACCCCATTCTCCAGCCCGGACCCCTGTCTCAAGGGACCCCTGAGGGCAAGAATGCAGAGGAAATCCTCCAAGAGGTTCAGTGCCAGGGCAGCAGCCCGCGTGGAAGCGGCCTGGGACAGGCAAGCCCAAGCGTCCAACCCGGGAAGTTGGGGTTCAGCCTCCTGTAGCTCCTTGGGGGTGGAAGGAGTAAGAGAGGAGAGAAGGCTGCAGGCAGAAGGCGGCTGCGGAGCGGACCTCTCTCTCTCAGCAGATGCCTGGGGGATGGGGAGCCCGGAGAAGGGGGCTCGAGCAGGGATTGCATCCCGCCCCCCTGCACCCCAGCCCGTGGTACGGCTTTAAAAATCCTGCGGAGTTTGTCATAGGCCGGCCTCAGCACGCATGCGCATAGGCAAAGTTGAGTTTTTTCTCTCCCCCTACCCCCCCCCCCCCTTTCCCCCCTCTCTCTTTTCAGCAGTCTTTGGTTCTGCAACTTAAAAAAAAAAATTTTTTTTTTTCTTCTTCTTCTTCTCCGAGAACAGCAGGGGAAAGGAGTGCGGAGAGGGAGGGAGAGAGCGCGGCAGTTGGCCAGAAGGGCCGGGGGCGGGTGGGGGGGACGCGGTCGCGGCGGCCGGTCAGCCTGCCCGCCTGCGGGGCTCAGGATCGATCGCGATCGCGGGGAAGGGCTGCCGCGCGCCCCGCGACCGACGACGCCGCCGCCTCCCCGAGCCCGGCTCCGAGCGGCCCCTCCGAGCCAGCGCCTCCCGCCGCCGCCGCCGCCGCGGGGCCCTCGCCCGCCCGCCGCCCGCTCTCCCGCCCCTCGGGCCCGGGCGCCGGCCATGGACCTCCGGAGCTGATCGGCGCCGCGGAGCCCCGCGCCTCCCCAGCCCCAAGCCCTCAGTGCCCTCGCTCTGCATCGCTCTTCGCCCTGGAAAAGGCGGGGGATCGAGGGGATTCACCCGAAGAGAGAAAGAAGGGGGTGGGGAGGGGAGAGCCGCCTGTGTCTCCCCTGGGGGCGATCGCCCCCCGAAACCACCGCACCGCACAGGCAGAACGAACGTCCGGGGGGAACGGCTACCCATGTCTGCGCTCCCTTTTCTGCCAAACCCTAAAATGAAAGGACAAAAGTTGGCTCTGACTCTTGCAGCAGCTCGGATGGCGACTGGTGCGTTCTCAGCGGCATCTCCCGGAGAGAAAACCGTGCGCGCCTGATTGTGCTGGGGCCCCAGCGCTGCGGAGTGTGTGAGTGTGTTTGGGTGTGTGTCTGTGTGTGTCTGTGTGTACACAGACGTCCACACACTTGCGGCCCCAGGATCAGAGCCTGAAAGCAGACTTTTCGGCCACAGACTCGGAGAGGAGGAGCTGGAGACCAGGAGGGCGTGAGCCGCCCGGAGTTTGCAGAATCCGTGGTGTGAATGAACCGGGGGCACCTGGGCGCGCGGATCACCCCCCCGCCCCGCTTTCGCCTCAGGCCATAGTTGAGTAGCGGGGCATTTTTTTTAAACCCTCTTGTGAAGAATTTTTTTTATTATTTGTTGTAAAGTCTTTTGCACAATCACGCCCACATTTGGGGTTGGAAAGCCCTAATTACCGCCGTCGCTGATGGACGTTGGAGAGGGAGCGCCTCGCCGCGGAGCAGTCGCCTGCGCGCCCTCGCCGGACCCGCGGCTCCCTCGCTGCGCCCCGGCCCGGGCCTGTCTCTGCCGCGGGCCGCCGGGCTCCCGCGCCCCCTCGGACCCCGGGCGCACCCCAGCGCCGCCCAGGCTCGGGCCCCCGGACCCGGGCTCCAGGAACCGCTCCGGCCCCGACTCCCGGCGCCTGCGGGACGCGCCCAGAGGGAGCCCGCAGCTCGGTGTCGGATCGGCCCCCCGGGCTTAATCGGCCGCCCCGCTTGGATTTCTCCGCTGCCCTGGCTCCGGTGGCGACTTCCTCTTCGGGTCCCCTCCCCCTCGCCATGAAGGTAGGTGTTCTTTGCTCCTCTGATGCTCCATCGCCACTTTTTTTTTTTTTTTACCTTTCCTTTTTTTTTTTTTTTCTTATGGAAGTTAACTGAATCCCCCTCCTCCCCAAACCCCACCTACCTCTTCCTATTCCTCCCTTTCTCCTTTCGCCTTCAGAGACTAGAACTCCCTCCCGCGGGGCTGGCGGGGACCCCTACCCTTCCCCCCCCCCCCTTCTTGCTCACTACTTCTGTCTCCCCGAGACCTCTTCTGGTCTCATCAAGCATTCTGCAAACCTTTTTGACTTTTGGAGAAAAGGCTGGCAAGAGCCAAGGCAGAAAAAAACAGTGCGGTTCACAGACGACTCAGCTCCCCTTTGGCCCTGAGAAACTCGAGTGTACTTTACTATGTGTATTTCAGTCACAGGATCATGATTCAATTCAACAAATATTTGCCAAGTGCCCACGGCGCGGGCACCGAGGAGGTGTGTGGGCCAGGGCTCGGGAAGGGGAAGTGGCCTCCTTGGCGGGGAGGCTGGGCAGCCGGACCAGGGGGCCAGCTGCTCCCGAGAAGCGCACCCCTCGCCCTCTGCAGCCAGAGGTCAGGCTGCAGAGCCCGTCCTGGCCAGGGAGCCCTGGTGCTGCATGCAGGCCCTGTGCCTTTAAGAGTGGCTGGCGGGGGGCCAGTGCGCACCCCGGCTTGGGGAGCGGGGTCGCGTTATTAGCATGATTAGCCGCCACCGGGGGAGCCGGGCACTCGGCGGCGGGGCCGGCGCGGGGAGGGCCGGCGGCGGCGGCTCTCATCCCGGTCCGCGGGGAGAGCGCGCCCAGGCCCCCTGCGCGGACCCCGCCGGGCCCTTTGGAAGCATTTGGGCGTCCGCGCTGGGGGAGAGCAGGCGGGGGGCAGTTTGTGAGCCCTTGTTTGTTTTAATTGTCAGTTGTATGTGAAAGCCGAGTCACACACTCCGAGGGTCACCGAGAGTTCACTTTTAAGAAAAGTTCACATTTCTTTCCTGCCATCCAACTTGCTCCTTTTCAAGTCACTTTTCCTCTCTCTCTGCCCTCCAAGCTCCCATCCTTCCCATTTTTGTGTGTCTGATCTCTCCCATGTTCAGTTTTCTAGAAAATAAGGTTGAAGTTGAAATGAGGTTTCCTAAAAGCAAGCAAATCCTCCCCCAAAGGTTATTTATTTATTTATTTATTTATTTTTAAACCCGCTATCTGGGAGACCCCCGCGGCCTTGTTTTACTTTCTAAACCTAGTCCTCCGGCGCGGGGCCCCTTCTCTCGCCTTTCTTTACTTGGACACCTCGCTGTTTGGAAGGCGCCTGTAGCCAGTGGTGCGATCGCACCTCCCGGGGCCCCTGCCCCGCCGCTAACGCTCTCCACAAGGCCAGACGCGGAGACTCCGTTTCTAGACGGGGCCGCAGCCTGGGGAGTTCCGAGAGGGCAATGCCGAGAGCGCGCAGGCGATGGAGGGAGAGGCAGCAGGATTGTGACCGAGCGTGTGAGGTTGTGTCCTGCGGGTGTGGGAGAAGGAAAAAGGTCAGTTGTTTTGGGCTCTTCTTGGGTAGAATAGCCTCGGCCGGTCCCGCACCGCCCCACAAAGGAGAACCCGCCCTCCCTTCCCTCCGAAAGGCCGACCCAAGGCGCTCCTGCCATTCCCCTCCTCTCGTTGGAGCGCTCCAGTGCACAAGGGGTTAGCGCCGCGCGCCTGGAGCTCGGCTCTGCCCGCAGTCCTTTCTTCCCCGCCGCGCGGTGCCGGCTGCCCCCTGTTGGCCGCCTCGAGGTAGGACACCTCCGTTCCAGTTCCGTGGGGCGAGTGGGTTCGCAGCAGCTCCCACCTCCAGCTGCTCACACTCTAGCCCACCCTCTCCGGGGAGGGCCGCGCCGGGGCCCCCCGAGGGCCCGCCGCCCTGCGCCGCCCCCGCGATGCGCAAGAGGCCAAGGGCACGACCCAGCGAACCGGGCTCCAGGGCGGGTGGAGCCTGAGTGGGTACCTCTTCTCCAAGGCGCTGGCTGGAGCGAGAGCCTTGCCCTCTAGGAGGTCTGGTCTTCTTGGCGCCTCTAGCCAGTGTTCTCCGTAATCGAGGACAAGTGTTGCTCTCTCTGGGCCTCAGTTTGTTGTCTATTAAAAAGCGCAGAGGAATCTGCCTCCGAAGGGAGGTGTCGGCGGGGGGTTGAACTGATGTTTCATTTTCTCTCTCCTGCCACCGGACTCTGCTCTTCCTCTGGATAAAGTTGAGAGCCTGAGAGCCCCTGCTGAGAGTTAGACATTCCGTGTGAGAAGGTAGGAGTGGTGTGTGTGTGTGTGTGTGTGTGTGTGTGTGTGTGTGTGTGGAGGGAGTTGCGGTCGGTCTGAGAGCCTTGTCCCAGGGGTGAACGGGCGGAGGGCAGGGAACAGACAGAACTAGGGGCTTGGCTACTATTCCTCCCTTGGAGACCCTTTGCTACTGAACCTGCTGTTGGTTTTGCGTCAGGGCGAGCACAGGCTGCTCATGTTACCTGCAAGGATTTGGGCTCCAAAAGCCCACTCCAAACCCCCTACTCCAACCCCCCCCCCCCCAATCCCCGCTACAGCGCTTTGGATACATCCCTGCAGCCAGGCTGGAGGCATAGGGGAGCGCTGGCTCCTTGTTTGCTCCCCCAGAGCAGACCTCCTATCAGCCTTGACCGGCTCATCCTCCCCTCCCCTCCCACTCCTCTTGGCGTTCCTGAAGCAGGACAGTCCAGCACAACAATCCAGCTTTCCTCCCGCAGTGTTCTCCATCTTTCTCCTTGTTTTGGGGAGAGATCGCAGTTGGGAAAAACAAAGCTTACTTCCCACCAAGAGCTGTAATTCTTGGAGTGTCCTGCCCCTTTCCACACCGCGAGTCCAGGTCAAACTCACTTCCTCCAAGTCGGTCTCCCTCATCCTCTCCCTTTCCACTTCCAGAGACTTGCGGGCGGGGGTGGGTGGGGGGGAACTGGAGGCAAAGAGCCCGGTGGAAGGGCATGCCCAGACGGAGGAGCCAGGGTCTGGGTTGTTCGTCCTGCCTTTGCGGACTTTCTTTTTAGGGATCGGAGGGCGGAGGGCTCTGGGAGGTTTGCGAGTGCTCTGCGGTGCTTTTTCCGTGGCACGTTTTCCAAACAGCTTGATGGTTTCCCCTCTCTCACCTCCTATCACTCCACGCCCGCAACCCAATGGACAAGAAGGGTTAGGAACACCTTTAATCTAAGGCGGAAGCTTTGGAGGAGGGACAGGACGAGCAGCCGCCACGATGAGCTGCTCTGGGCTGGAAGCAAGGGCGCGCTAACGCTCTCTCCCCCCAACCTCCTCCCCCTCCTGCGCTTGAAACTCTCCAACGCACCCTCCTTCCCATCCCACAAGGGGAACAGGTTCCGAGGTCCCGGCAAAGCCAACTTTCCCGTGCTCCCAAAGCTTTTGAAAACCTTTAGTCCATTCTGGGTAAACCCAGATTCTGCCTAGAAGTTTGGATTCACCCTCGCTCGGGTCACCTCCGGAGAGGTCTCCTTTGGTGCTGTCTTTTGGGATAAGAGCTCCTCGTAAACAAGGCGGGGTGTTTACCCAACAGAGGCGATGTATGTATGTATGTATGTATGTATGTATTAAGGAGTTCCCGGTAGGTTCCTTAAATGGTTCAAACTCGTGGGGCCTTCTCTGGGTTGCTCGGGTTTGGGATGGGGAAGAGGGCCAAGATGTTTCCAGGCAAGCGCGCGCGGGGTTAAGTGGCGACGCGACTCGCCTGGCTCTCCAGCGGATCCCCTTGGGGATACCTTTGGCTGAACCCCCAGCCTGGCGCTGGGGAGACCCGGCTTGCAGAGAGAGACCCAGGGACCCACACTACCCTTTGGCCCCAGCTCTGGGACTAGGTGGACTTTTCCCGGGGTCGTCGGCGGCCAGGAGTGGGCTCGGTTTGTGTGGCTTCCCCTCTAACAAAGAGATCCCCTGTAATCCGCCGAATCTGTTATCAATTTCTCCGCCGCCCGCGCCCCGCCCCGCGCGCCCCGCCCGGCGGGAGGCGCAGGCCCGGGAAAGCGCGCGGGGCCCGCGGCGACCAGCGCCGCCGTCTGGGAGGCACACATCGGAGCCCGTGCATGTGTGTGCACGCGTGTGAGTGCATGGCCGTGCGTGCGTGTGAGTGTGATTGTGCCGGAGCGTGTGTGCGCGGCCTCGGCCGCCTGCCTATGGGGAGGGAGAGCCGGCTCCGCATCAGGGGCCGCGCGAAGGCAGCCCGCGCAGCCCACCCCCTCCCCCGGCAGAAACCTGACACTCCGGGCGGGGATGGGGGTGGGGAGGGGAGACTTCTCTCCACGGCCGGGGAAACCCAGGCTTTCTCCTCTCTGGGATGCGCCCCCAGCTTAGAAGCGCTTTGGGGACCCCTGTGCCACGGGCGCTGGGGCCCCGGGTAGCGGGCACCGGGGCCCACATAAGCATTTCCTCTCCAAGAAGCCCCCCCCCCCCCCGCGCCCCAGGTGTCCGGGCCAGAGGGGCGGCCGGCTGGCCGGGAAAGGCCTTGGGCGAGCTTCTGAGCATCTTCGTGTTCCCAAAGCTGCCTAGGTCCCCTCAGTCCCTTCTGTGGCGAAGGGTCCTGGCCAGGCCCCTTTGTCTCCTGAAAGAGGCTCCCCGAGCCTTTTCCTGGGGAATGGGGTCCCCGGGGGAGCGGCGGGAGGCGAAGCGCGTCCGGTTACACTGATCAGAGATGGAAAAGGGACTCTGGAAACCTGCTCCTCCCACCCGCAGCCGCCGCCGCCCTGCCCCACATCCGCCTGCAGGTGGAGAAGTCACCGGTGGGGAGGAAGGAGGAAGGGCAGCCGAAGCTTCGGAGGCCGCCCCTGCCCGGACATCCTGGAAGCCTGGAACCTTCGCCGCCAGGCCCCGTGCGCCCTGGAGTCCCGGTCTCCGCGGCGGCGCGGGCCTGCGCTGTCTCTGGCGCCGTCGGGGGGCTCCCTGGATGGAAGCAGCTCTGGCCTCCACTGCGCCCTCGCTGTTCAGAACGGACCCAGCCGAGTCTTAGTTTGGGCTGGAGGGCTGGGTGGCGGTGTTCACAGGCCGGGCTCCCGGTGCCGCGATGGCGAAGTGGCGGAAAAAGCCAGCCCGGGACCAGAGGAAGCTGGAGTGCCCCTCGGCTCCCTTTCCCCCTGCCCCTAGGCAGCCGCCCGGAGTGGGGTCGGAGGGAGAGTGGAAAAGAACTTGGAGGAGGATGTGGGGAGAGCCGGGAAGGGGTCCTGTCCCAGTACAACGGGACCCAGATCCTTCTTTCCTTTTGGTGCCATCCTGACGCTAGAGCCCGCTGAGCCCCAGGGAGCGCCCCGCTTTCTGGATTCCTTGGTTGGGGGAGCAGATCTATGTCCCCCCCCCATTGATTCATGTGCCCCCCATCTCCTTCCTCCAGCTCCAATCTGGCTGAGGAGCGTCCAGAGGAAAACCAGGCTGCCCCCCCTCCACCCCCATCCCCACCCCCCTTCTGGAAGTGGCTTCGCCCAAAGCGGCCCGTAAACTGATTAGGAAACATACGATGTTAATTCCGAGCTGCAGTTCCCAGCTGGGCACTTTCTCGCGCGCCGCTCCCCCGGGCCTCGCCCCCCACCCCCTGCCCTTCCCTCCCGCGTCCTGCCCCCACCCCCACCCCCACCCCCGCGCCGGCCACCCCGCCTCCTCCCTCCCGGCCGCCGCGGCGCGCTCCGCTCCACTCTCCTCCGCGCTGCCCTCGCCCTTGGAATGAATTCCGGCTCCACTTGTTGCTCGGCCCAGGTCGGGGAGAGGGAGGACTCGGGGGGCGGCGGCGGCGGGGTCCCCAGTGAATTCCCACGGGGGGACCCGGCGCTGCGGGGACTGGAGGGGGGCGAGGGGGTGCGGGACGCCAGCAGCGGGCGAGCAGGAAGGAGGCAGCGCCTGGCACCGGGGCTTTGACTCCACAGCAGTGAGACATGTTCGTGTCCCGCGCGCAGGAGCCCAGAGAAATCAGATTTCCTGGTGAGGTTGCGTGGGTGGATTAATTTGGGGGGGAAAAAAAAGAAAGAAAGAAACTGCCTGTATCTTCTCATCAAACAGCTCACACGGAGGAGAGGCGCAGTCCATCCACAGTCAACCTAAGAGAGGCCCGGATGCTTCCCGTTGTTTAAACTTGTGTGCTTGAGAATTATCTGGGAGGCAATAAACATCTGCTCCTTTCTTCCCTCTCCAGAAGCCCACTGGAATATCAAGGCCGGGAGTTGCTCTGGGGTCTGCTGGAAGTGCCATGTCTCCCACGTTCTTCCTCATGGCTTTGGCCATATTTTTCTCCTTCGCCCAGGTTGTAATAGAAGCCAATTCTTGGTGGTAAGTTCATTCTATGCGCATCTTTTATTATTTTATTTTTATTTTTTTAAAGATACATGTGTATGCTGCTGCCATATTTAAAGCTAAAACATGAATTTGGGTGCATTTATCTAAGACACCTATCCATTTTTTAAAATTTACATGTATTTTTGAATAGGGGTTTTCTTTCAAGTGGCTAATATTGTAAAGCTGATCTTTAGCTTCCTAGGGAATCAGAACTTACAAACCGAGACCTGTTTCTGTGAGGCCCATGTTCAGACGTGTGCTTGTAGGACATCGCAGAATAAAAGGGGATCAAAGGCTACTGCTCTCCTCACTGGGAGCCTAGCTAGACATTTTTCTTGTAGTAAAAGTGAGTTCCAACTTTTATTTTTCTGTCCCTAGAGGTTATGAACGTTCAGGGTCTATTGCAGGGAGAGTTCTAGGAAGACAGCTGATGTACTTGGCTCGAGATTCGGTCAAGAAAAGGTGAACTTGAAGTAGTCCCATGTCCCTGAGTGAGAGGTTTCTCTCCAGCAGGGCCCTCGCACACAGGCTGCAGTCTTTCCAGAGGATTATTTCTGACGGTGCTCTGGCTATTTTTCCCTGTGAATGAGCAGTGTTTTTCTGACTGTCAAACATGACTGCTGTTCACTGGATACCCTGCCTTGGGTCCTTCACAATCATATATAAGGAGCCCTTTTAGGCTGTCCAGAGTGAGGTGGAGTTTCTTGTGGTCTATATACTTGTCCCAGTGTTCTTCCATCAGTCCGAAGGAACTGCTAGCTGCCACCCGTGTCTAATTGTGTCTCCTTTCCTCGGCACTCGTACGTGTTTTTTTTTTTTTTTTTCAAGGCAGATCAGTCCGATTTGTTGGGGCAACGTGAATGAGTCACTTTCTCTGAGGTCAGAGATGTGTCCCTGAAACCGCTCTTTACCTCTTTTCTGAGTGGGTTTGGGAAACACTGGTTCAGGTAGACGGCAGGCGTGGGGGCAAAAAGGGGAGGTAAAACCTCGGAGGGGCCAGATGGCGGGATGGGGACTACACAATACCTCCGTTTTCTGAGTAGAGCTGAAACAGAGGAGTCTTATGAGGCCCTTCTCATACTTTGTCATGAGGACAAGCAGGAGAGAAAAGCATCTGTGTGCTTAGACCTATGTCTTGCTGACATGCTTTCTGGGGGCCCACCTCGAGAGTTCACGTAAATCTTAAAGGCACATCTCCCCCCACCCCTTCCCAGGTCGCTAGGTATGAATAACCCTGTTCAGATGTCAGAAGTATATATCATAGGAGCGCAGCCTCTCTGCAGCCAGCTGGCAGGACTCTCTCAAGGACAGAAGAAGCTCTGCCACTTGTACCAGGACCACATGCAGTACATTGGCGAAGGTGCGAAGACGGGCATCAAGGAATGCCAGTACCAGTTCCGGCACCGGCGGTGGAACTGCAGCACTGTGGACAACACCTCCGTGTTTGGCAGGGTTATGCAGATAGGTAGGAGACCACGTCACCTATTTTTAAATATATATATGGATATGAACCTTTCTCCTGGAAAAAGCCCTTCGTGTTTACTGAGCAGCCTGATCCCCAGGGAATCTTACAGGAGAATAGTGGCTTGGGGATTTGTGTCCTTATTTCCTTATTGCTACCTGCGTTTATTCTTTTTCCCACACTCCTTTTTTTTTTTTTTAACCTTCTGGACTTCCGTCACCCAATCAGGAGGGGAGCATCTAAGACGCCATTATTTTTTTCTGAACGTGTAATTTCTCTAAGAAACATTTTGGTTACAACAGAAGCAGCACACTTGTTTTGGTTTCTCAAAAGTAGAAGAGGAAAGCTGAGTCAGTCATACTCTCTTAAGCTCCAAAACTCCTTAAACTGTTAATAGTTTTCTAACTTAAGCCGCAAGTCAAATGGCCCAAGCAGCAAACTAAAAGTTGTCATTCCTTTCAGAATGTGTTGGAAATGAATCAGGTTCTGATTTTCCTAATATAGATAGTCCCTGAGGCTATAGAGATCTATTGATTAAAGGCTTTCCTTTTAGTCCCTGAAAGAACTTTCATTAGAAATGGTCCCATGCACATTTGCGATTTTGGCAATTGATATAAAAGCACATCCTTCATTCAGACCTCAACCTCGCAACTTCAAAAAAAAAAAAAAAAAGTTTAATTGTATCACTCACAATCCGATTCTTCATTTTAAATATGTTGTCGAACTTGTTCCATTCAGGGAGGTCGGGGCATTAAAACTGGACAAAGGGCAAAGGATTGGAAACATGGGCTTGCCTCTGGTTTGGTTTCATAGCACAGGGTACTGTCTGACAGACCAGGTTCCCTGTGCGTTTTCTGGTGTGAATGTTTTAGGCCTCTTTTCTTGTATGCAAAACAAGCCCTTATAATTAATATGACTGCAGTAACTCTTAAAATAAGAAGCCATCTATCAAAGCAATTAACTGTTTATACTGCCTGAAGATAAAAAGTTGGCTTAATATCCGTCACGGATGGCTAAAATGCTTTTTTTCAAAAACCCTGAAAAGTGCATTCATTGAGAACAAAAAAGAGTTGTCAGTGGATGTTTGAGCCAAGCGGCTTCATAAACTAAAATAATACAGGTCTGGAAGCCAGTCCTCTAATTGAATGGGAAAATGGTCTGAAGCCCCAGCCTGCAGAGTTTCCTAGGCTTTGTCCTTCCTGTTAATGATTAAAATGTGCTAATGTATATGCTGGATCAGGAGTTGGGAGTGCAGTCTCAGAGACAGTCTTCCCTGAATATAGGCTGCCTTCTGTAGGTAACTGGGTGTGGTGGAGATTCCGTTCCCCTGCATTTGGATATAGTGGGCTAACTAAACACTTCTTTTTTAAAGTGATAGCAGAATGGCATGCTGTCAGCCTTCCCCCAACCCCTTACATCTGCTTATAGAGCACCCCTGTACTGCCTTCCTCCCCTACGGTGGGGCCACTTTTTCACAAGAATATGAGTTAGCAAAAAAAAAAAAAAAAAAAAAAAAAAAAAAAAAAAAAATCACACCCCTCTGATGGTAACCAGTCAGGGAAGCAGCAGTTGGAACTGTTTTTCTGTGTAGTCCCTGGAACACAGCTTTGATTTAAGGTCCTCTCCTTGTCTTCATATGCAGCCTGTTTTGGGCCAACATGTTCACAATAAGCTATCATTTGCTAAGTGGATTTGAGTTCTGCTGGAGATTTATTTAAAATGTGGTCCAAGATTCAAAGAGCCTGCTTCCTCGGGGAACAAGCAGAACCCTTGGTACAAAGGCCTATATTTAATTGTCCCTGTCCCTTGCGAATACATTCTCTGGTCCTGGCTGCATGGTACTGTCTGTCTGGGTCCATGGGAAGTGGGTGGGACAGCCTCTGAGGGAGCCCTCCTAGATAGGATCTCCAAGTCAGCTGCTGTTCTGGGAAGTGCCCCGGCTCCCTTGCCAACAGTTCCCCAGGTGCTTGGGGTCTCAGGGCAGAAAGCTGCTGCTGGGTGGCTTGTGTTGGAGCACCAACAGAGAGCTTGTGTTGGAGCACCAACAGAGAGCTAGCGGGCTCTCTCTCTCTCTCTCTCTCTCTCTCTCTCTCTCTCTCTCTCTCTCTCTCCCTTCTCTGTCCTCGCTCTCCTCACTCTGTCTCTCAAATTTATAATATATTTGGAGGGAAGAAAAAACAGAATAGCTTTTGGTGGAGGAGGAACATAGACCCAAACCCATCAGTGGGAAAGTGACTTCGTTTTCCCTTTTCCCTTTAAGGGTACCTTGGGAGGGAACACACGCGCACGCGCCTGCTCCAAAGCACTTGGGGCATCAGGGACTTGGAGAGCCATTCTTGCCCATGAGAATCTGACCCTGTGATGGGGCCCGAGTCTGAGAAACCCAGGGCCGCCACTTCCAACCCCCTCCCCAACTCATTTTTCTAGGGTACCAATGGCCTGGGAGGCACTGTACACAATCGCCTGGGGAAGGGCCGGCTCTTCCTTTGGGGAACTTGCTCATTTTTCATCAAGCTCCCCCTTCTCCCAGCCTTTGTCTCCGGCCCTTCTTTGTCTCCACGCTGTGAAAAGCTCCGTCAGGAAGGCACCATTTTTAAGGAGTGTGAGGCTGGGAGGGGAGGTGGGTTCACAGGGAGGGAAAGCCAGGAGAAGCAGCAGCATTCCATCCAGGAGGACGGTAGCCACAGGCTATTCGCCAAAGAGCCCCTTTCAAACCCACCGTTTCCCCTGCGGTGACCAATTAGCGCAGAGACTTCTACCAGGTTCGTATTATGGGGCAAAAAAAAAAAAGAAAAAGAAAAAAAAGAAAAAAAAAAAAAGGAAATGCTCAAGATAGACTTCTGAAACAAGCAGCATGATTGTGTTTGGTATAAAAGACCTTTTATGCTTTGTGTACTCACAAGACAGGGTCTGATTTTCCCTATCTCTGAAGGATTGTTTATCTCCTCGTCCTCTAGCTACCTCTTTATTCCATCAGCCTCCCAGCCAGGGCCACAGCGTTTTCTGCATTATGTGCTCATCCTTAAATAACTCCGCAGAATCTATCTTCCCTCCTCATTTCTCTCCACTCCCTCCCATGCTCTCTGCCTCACTAATTCCAGCAAGATAGATGTCACACCCCACAGGAACTTTCTGGATCCTCCCGCCAACCACCAGCACACGCCTCAAGTTATTCATTTTTTAAAATGTGGGAGGGAAGGTCTGTGGTAAATGGGAACCATCGCCATTCCTGGAAGGGGTGGGGGTGGGGTCAGAAATGGCCATGGATCCAGTGGGAGCAGACGTCCCAGGAAAAGGATGGGTCCTTGAATTGGCACAGCCGTCCCCCTGCAGAGGGACCCTTCTGCTTGGGCTGAGCTGTATGGCCACCCCTCTCTGCTCCTCACAAAACAGTTAGCCAGCACTTGCTGTGCGGGGAGAAACTGATTCTGATACAGGGATTCTAGTGTCAGAGGGGGCTCCTCCCCGGGTTTCTAGTTCAATACTCTGATTTTATAGTTGGGAAAGTGAGCCTCCCTCATCCCCATCCCCCCTCCCCCAGACCCAGCTTCAGCTGGCCTGCTGGTGTTAACCCTTTCTCCCTCCTAGTACAGCTTTTTTATTAAGTGGCTTCTGTTAGGCATAGAAATGTCCTCATGCACAAGAGGAGATGATGACCTCCATTTTTCTCCTGACAAACAGGGCCCCTGTTTCACAGGGGGTGGAGACAGTCTTTACAAGCTTTGGGGAAGGGGAAACCAGTTTCAGGTTTGTATATTCATTACAAGACTTGGGGAGGAAGCAGCTTTTTTTTTTTTTTTTGTCTTCCCCCATGAGATTGTGCTTTGCCTTCTTGCTGTCATATTCTAACCCTGAGGCATAGGGTGGCAGGCTGTTTTCATAGTAGACACTCAACCTCCATGAGAAACATCGGTCAAGGCAGTGTGGGATTCAGAGAAGTGGCTCCATGAGAACCGGCTGGGGATGGGTTTGAAAATGTCCCTTGGGAAAGCCTAGCGCCTCATCCTGGGACACACTCAGTGATGGACAGGGCCAGGTGACAAGCAGCAGGAGGAGGGGACTGGAGCTAGAACCGGCGTGGCCACAGGGTGGCTGCCGCCGTGGCTGCCATCCCCGGGGGCCTCAAACTTTCCGAGGCCTGGAGCCTGGCAGCTGCCGCGCGCGCACCCGCCACGTGAAAATAATACAAACACTAAAATACATGTGAGGAAGTCTACCCAGATTCTGAGTTCCCCCTCAATGACTCCTTTCTTGTGCATTTTTTTTGGAAATAAGAAGTTTCCAATATTTTAAAAAAGGGTTGGAGAGAAAATCAGGCCAGCACTGCCTAGAATCCCGCCTTTGGCTCTGAAAGGCAAGAGCTCAGGGACATGCCACTCCTTTGTTATTTGTTGCTGCTCCATTATTTGTTATTGTTATTTGTTATTATTTGGGGGAATCAGTGGGGCGGGGGGGGGGGGGCGTGGGGCCTGAGAGTATGGGATGGGGCTCTCCATGGTCCCTGTCCAGGGGCAGCACATGTAGGAGCATCTCCGCAGCATCCCCGCCCACATCCTCCAGCCGGGGCTGCGGGGAGTGGGGGGCTGCGGGGAGTGGGGGGCTGCGGGGAGTGGGGGGGATGCGGAGAGTGGGGGGCTGCGGGGAGTGGGGGGCTGCGGGGAGTGGGGGGCTGCGGGGAGTGGAGGGGGCTGTGGTGAGTTGGGGACACCCCCCCCCCCCCCCCGCAGCCCCGGTGACCCCGTCCTCGCCCGCAGGCAGCCGCGAGACGGCCTTCACGTACGCGGTGAGCGCCGCGGGGGTGGTGAACGCCATGAGCCGCGCGTGCCGCGAGGGCGAGCTGTCCACCTGCGGCTGCAGCCGCGCCGCGCGCCCCAAGGACCTGCCCCGGGACTGGCTGTGGGGCGGCTGCGGCGACAACATCGACTACGGCTACCGCTTCGCCAAGGAGTTCGTGGACGCGCGCGAGCGGGAGCGCATCCACGCCAAAGGCTCCTACGAGAGCGCGCGCATCCTCATGAACCTGCACAACAACGAAGCTGGCCGCAGGGTGAGTGCCCGCCCTGGGGTCCACGCCCCCCAACCAAGCCGGGCCTCTTCTGGCCTCTCTGCCCCTCCCTCTGCCTCTCTATAGTTCCTGTCTCTTGTCACTCTGCATCTCTGTTTTCCCGTCTGTCTCCAAACCCCTTTCTGTCTTTTCTGCTCTCCTTCCCTCTCTCCCTGTTGGTCTTTTTTCCTCTTCCCCTTCCTCTTGCTCTCTCCCACTCCCCAATCCCCACCCCAAGACCTCAGGCCTCCCTGGAGAGGCGCACAGTGGGGGTCAGTGCTACCTGGGCCCCCTCCAGCCAAGCTGCTTCTGCAGGAGCCTGAGGAAGAGCTTTGTCTGCCCCTTTAATTGGTCCCCAGGGCCACAGGCCAGCCCAGCTTGGAAGTAAGAGTTAGCAGTGTTTGCCCTTCTCCCTGGAACAGGTCTGTGGCTGGGCTTATCTTGGGGAGAGGGAGTTCTTTATCCAGTAAGTGCCCAGCTCAGAAACCCTCACCCCAGTCTCAGGACTTACCTTTCTTTCTCTTCCCTATGTCATTAGAGAGCAAGCTTGATGTATTGAAAGCGTAGAGAGAGGGAGAGAGAGAAAGAGAGAGAGAGCACTTTTATAGGAAAACTACAGCCTTTTTCTAGTCTGATCATCAGGCCAATTGTGGGTGCCTCTGGAGGGATGAGAGAGCCACTCAAAAATATTCAGAGGGGACCGAATCTGTAAGCCCTCCTGAGTGTCCCCATTCTGCTCCCTCCTTCCGCTGGTGGGGACATGAAATGCTTGTCCACAATAGTTAAAAGGACCCCTTTTTCCCTGCGGGGAAGCACATGACACTTAATGGCTGCTCTAAAATGAAGGGATGAAAACTTCTCTTTGGCAGCATCGAAAACCAGGGTCATTATATTTTTTTTTCACAGAGCCCCTGGGAAAGGTAGGTGCCAGGGACTTTCTGGTCGGAGATTTCACCCTTCTGTATTTTGGGGTGAGGAGGAGGGCAGTTAATCACAAAGTAAAATATCCAAAACTGGAAGGAAGGAAGGAGCCTTAGGACCCTTTGGCTGCACACCCCCATTTTAGAGATTGGGAAACTGAGGCCTAGAGAAACACTTCATGGCTGTGGAAGAGAATTAATGGAGTGAGATATAAACCAGGTGCTTTGTGCTTTTTTTTTTTTTTTTTTTTTTTTTTTCTTAATTGAACTCATGCATCACAGCTTAGGGATGAAGGGAGATAGCTTTTGGAAACGGTGAAATCTAAAATCCTGTACCTTTCTGTTTCTGAGCCTCGGTTGCCACACTTCCACATCTGTTAAATGGCCATGGCATTAGCTCGGAGTTATCTTGAGCACTAACCGGGGTCATGTAGCAGGTGGAAGCATGTGAAATACCAGTGCGTGACTCTCTTACCTACAAAATAACAACTTCCTCTGGTTCCAATGAAGATCTTCCTTTAGGGCTGGCCAGTAGTGAAGTCTTGGTAAATATTAAACATTAGAAGTAGAAGACATAGATCATTCCAGCTATCCTGTCTACTCAGATTTGATGAACTCTGCAGATTTCTGCCTGTGCTGCCCTGAGGGGTCAGGTAATTGCTCCAGAGGGAGTGTGGCCCCTCCCTCTTCAGGTTGTCCACCGTAGGGTGTCTGAACTCTCCCTCCCCAGGGTGGCCCACCCAAGGCTGTGCCACGGGCATGTCAACCAGAGAGATCTGGGAGCCCAGAGACCTTGATCTTGTGCTCATCACAGACACTCACCTTGACTCTCTCGGGGCCCAGCACCTCAGACGGGACATGCCCTTGGGACAGAGATGTGGCTGCCGTTCTGCCCATATTGGGTGCTTTCATCCCTCTTTGAAGATTCCCTACGCTTCTCCCATGTCAGAAAGTCCTCAGGGGCTTAGCAACGAAGGAGAACAGGCCAAGGGATTTCCAAGTGAAGGGAGGGAATTTTGCAGGATTGGAAAAGTACCTTTAATATTATAATGTCACTTAACTTCTGCATTTTTTAATATCGAGGGATTCTCCCCCTGTCATACGCTTTCTCATGCAAGCAGTGAGCTGAGCGTGCATCCTGGCGGGTGAGGTTACCCAGAAGACAGCTTTTCTCCAGGATGGTGGGGGTGGGGCAGGGAATTTGGACCCTGGGCCAGGAAACCCCATTAGCATCTCCTCAGGACATAGCCTTTTATTTTCCTCCTGGGGGAGTGAAGGTTAAATATGTTTGCAAAACCCTTCCTTAGACTAGCTGTGCCTGAACCTCTTTATGCCCAGGGGATCTGCTCTGGCCCCCTTTTTAAGAAAGCCCCTGCAGACCCCCTGGAGGAAGGTCGTGGCTGTGCCGGGTGGAAGCAGCCTTCTCACTCACTCCAGCCTCCAGGCTCCTGCCAACAGCACTTGGACTCTGGAGGGTAATGGGTCCAGCACTGTGGGCCATCAGGGCTATAAATAGGCAGCTGCCAACTCCCAGACTGCTGGGCACAGTGCTCTGAGGCCAGACCCGAGGCCAAGGCGATTGGGAAGGCACCCGATGCCATGCCCTTGTTACCCTGGAGAAAGACCAGATTTACTGTGTCCCTCCTGCCCGCTGCGTACTTTCCGTGCACCCGCTAATTTTATCCTGACGACAGTGCTGTGGGCCGGTGCCACCACAGCCCCCTACACACATGGGAAGTGGAGGCTCCAAGAGGGGACACCTGTAGCTTGAAATCGGAGGAAGAGGCAGGAGAGAACCCAGGTCTGCCTGGGTCCAGGCAGGTGCTCTTAGCCTAGGCAGTGGAGGGAGGGGGGTAAGGATGGTTTGGGAAGCAGGAGGGAGAAGATCTGAGATCCAGGCCCCATTCTCCCACTCTCTAGCTGGGTGACCTGCGCAGGCCACTTCCCCTTTCTGTGCCTCTGTGTCACCATCTCACCCAGGCTGTGTGATCACACTGCTGGGAGGATTCAGTGAAAGAAAAGCATGGACAGGCTCTTCATCCAGTGCGTGGTACACGGGATGAGTAGTCACAGTGAGCCAAGGTCTGAGCCCTAATCCCACCTGGGCCAGACCCCTCCCAGCCGTACCCCTTCATCAGCTAGGTACCCAAAGGCAAGTCACTGAGCATGAGCTTTGGAGCCCAACTGCCTGGGTTCAGATCCTGGTACCCCTGCTTCCCATAAGCAACTCACCTCTCTGGGCCTCCTTTTCCTCCTCTGTGAAATGGGAGCGGTCATGGCCCTGCCCTCATGGGCTGGTGGTGGGGATTAGTCCAGGTGGCGCAGGTAAAGAGCTGCACACCAGCTCCAGGGAGAGCCTTGTTCAGGCTGCATTCGTTGCTGCTCATGTTGTTTCCCCGACAAAACAGAGGCAACGGGGAACCCATGATTCCTGCTCACGTTAAAGAGCTGTGGTTGTTTATGATGATGATGTGTAATAACGAGGGGCTAAGAACGTATTTATTTTGTTGACTGTTTAGAACAGGGGTGGGGAGGAAAGTCTGGGCCCAGGGGCCAGCTAAGGCCCACGGAATCCTTTCGCTCTGGCCCTGCCAGGGGTAAGTTAACTCAATGTTTGACCAAATAGAGCAGTGGGCACTGTTGTATGGCCTGCCGTGATGTTATAATAAATAGCCACATGGCCCATAGCAGAACAGAGGGTCCCCACCCCAGTTCTAAAGAAAGCGACACAGACTTTGGGTAGTGGAGAATGAGGAGGAAGCAGCCTCGCCTCTAGCCTCTAAGTTAGGGGGGGCCGTGGCTCCCGCTAGAAGGTGGAGGGGAGCTTTGATCACAGAGCCCTGCCTGTGCCCGGCCGTCCTCCTCCACGCGTGTGTAAACTGACTGTCCCATGTCCCCACAGACAGTGTACAACCTGGCCGACGTGGCTTGCAAGTGCCACGGGGTGTCCGGCTCCTGCAGCCTCAAGACGTGCTGGCTGCAGCTGGCCGACTTCCGCAAGGTGGGCGACGCCCTGAAGGAGAAGTACGACAGCGCAGCGGCCATGCGGCTCAATGGGCGGGGCAAGCTGGTGCAGGTGAACAGCCGCTTCAACTCGCCCACCACGCAGGACCTGGTGTACATCGACCCCAGCCCCGACTACTGCGTGCGCAACGAGAGCACGGGCTCGCTGGGCACGCAGGGCCGCCTGTGCAACAAGACCTCCGAGGGCATGGACGGCTGCGAGCTCATGTGCTGCGGCCGCGGCTACGACCAGTTCAAGACCGTGCAGACCGAGCGCTGCCACTGCAAGTTCCACTGGTGCTGCTACGTCAAGTGCAAGAAGTGCACGGAGATCGTGGACCAGTTCGTGTGCAAATAGTGGGCGCCTGCCGCTCGCCTGCCACCCAGCCCCGTTCCCAGGACCCACTTATTTATAGAAAGTACAGTGATTCTTGTTTTTTTTTTTTTTTTTTTTAATATTGTTCTATTCCCCCACACACCCCCGAGAATTGCAACCGGAACCATTTTTTTTTTCCCCTGTTCCCATCTAAGAACTCTGTGGTTTATTATTAATATTATAATTATTATTTGGCAGTAATGGAGGGTGGGAACCAAGAAAATATTTATTTTGTGGATCTTTTTGAAAAGGTAAGACTTCTTTTGACGGTGTCGGAGAGGGAGATAACACAGACCCTGACTTAGCTCTGTGCACATCCAGAGGGTAAAGGAAATACGTTTTTTTTCCTGTCAGCCTTGGGGTTGGGCAGGGCAGGGAGCATCCAGCTGGAAGGGGTTGGCCCAAGTCTGTGCTCCATTCAGCCTCAGTGACCAAAATGCTCTGGTGGAAGGTCTTGAGAAATAAACAAGCAAGCAAAATGAGGCCCCCTCCCCTCTCTCCAGGGGCTACCAGCCTGAAACATTGTCAAAATGGTGATTTAAAACGTAAGAGTGAGAATTTCATTTTTCTCAAAGAAAAGAAAAAAAAAAGTCTATCATGGATCTCATGCTTCTCCGACATTCCATGTGCAGATGGTCCCGTTCTAACAGCTACTGAAACTTGGGGAGCAGGGAGGAAAGCCTCAGAAAAGTGGGGGAGGGATCTTAAAAACTCCTATATAAAGACTGATTTGAAGCTGTTACAGGAATTAGGTTATCAGATTGGGAAAGCATCCCCCGAATGACTCTGGGTTGTAGGCGTTTTGTTTGGAGAGGGGGCGGGGGAGGTTGGCTTGAATCTAAAGGAAAATATACTGTAATTTTCTTAGGGACACTTGGTTAATAAATGATAATAATCAAAATAATAAATGGATTCCAATCACAGACCTTTCGCCCAAACACCAAGGTAACTGAATGCTGCTCAGCGCTGCACCAGAGCAGAGCGCCTGTTTGCAGGGGAAGGGGGAGACCCGACCCACCTCCCACTTGACTCAGAGCCCGACCTGTGCCCTCCTCCCCCCGCTGAGGAGGTGAGGCCGTTCCCTGTCCAAAGGCAGCTCCACTGGGTCCCCTTGGGTTGCAGGATAGGAAACGAACCATTAGGAGCTCTGCTTGCAAAACAGTTGCTACTTAGGGATTCCCCCCCCTCCAAAAAAAAACAAAACAAAAAAACTTGGATTCTGAGGAGCAGTAGTTTCATGTTTTCATGACATTCCTTGGCTGATGGAGTCCACAGGGGTGTTGCAGTGTGTCCTGTGTGTAGGCTCTGCACTGGAGCTTTTCCTAGGACACTGCAGGCAAACCCTAAAACTGTTCCTACTGGACCTGAGCAGCTGGATGTATAAGGGAGGGGAGGAATGTGGTCTAATGGTGCCTGATATCTCAGTCTCTTGTACATAACACACACACGTATATACATAAATATGTATATATAAATATAAACATTATTAGTGCAGCCAGTGGTTTAGAATTACACGTTCCTCCGGGGTTGTTTCTCGGTCTAGAACATGGTTGTCCTTCGTTGCGACCCATTGGGATTCAACAAGGGCTTTTCGAGTTGAGCGTGGGCAGTGGCCCTGGCGTGACGCCACCTTGAGCATCACTAAGCAGCCTCGGGTCTGAGGCATCGGGAAGGCCTTCCTCCCTGACATGGGTATTGGTTCGAAGATTTCTTTTCTCTCCCTCCCTGCCCCTTTCCTCTTCTGCAGCCTCCATTTCTGTACACTTTCCTGAAAGGGCATTACTCGTTCGTCATAGTCTTGGAAATGAAGAGAGATTCCAAACTAGAAAGCATAGTCGTCATTTCTCTCTCCTTCGTTCGTTCTGCAGAGCGGAAACCGGCGCCTGGTAGATTTGTAGTACCTAGTTGAGTCCCTAAGGAAAATCCAGCTCCTGACATAGACAACTCTTTCCACAAAGTGCCATCCAGCGTGTTCTTCTCTCAGACTTGCAGGATTTAAGGAGTTTGGAAAGGTACACATCTCTTACAGCCATCATAGGCTCGGTGGCCTTCACATCACCTCAGCCTTATGTGGCTCTTAATTTATTGCACAAGGATATTCACTTCCCCTCAGTTGCAGTGACTTGCAAACAAAAGATCTTGAAGTTAAAAAGCACTAATTAGTTTGAAATGTCACTTTTTTGGTTTTTATTATACAAAAACCATGACGTTTTTATTTGCTAAACCAGATTTTGTTCCTTCTTAGCGATTCATGTTTATGAAGAGAGTTAAGTTTAACAATCCTAGTTTTTAAAAGAAACTATTTAATGTAAAATATTCTACTTGTCATCCAGATATTATGTATATCTTCTATGGCCTTTATTCTGTACTTTTAATGTACATATTTCTGTCTTGCGTGATTTGTATATTTCACTGGTTTTAAAAAAACAAACATCAAAAGGCTTACGCCAAATGGAAGATAGAATATAAAATAAAATGTTACTTGTATATTGGTAAGTGGCTTCAATTGTCGTTCAGATAATTCATGTGGAGATTTTTTGAGAAACCATGAGGGAGAGGTTAGGGTGACTACATGCTAGCATAACAGAAGAGCAGAGATTTTTTTTTTTTTTTTTTTTTTTTTTTTTACCAAAAGCCAAACTATTTGGAAGCTTCAAATGATTTCTATATGTAACAGAACAAGAGGGGAATTCTCTTTTCCTATATATGTCCCTCAAAAAGTCAAGCAGATGGCGCCAAGCTGGGTATAGGATTGCTCGCATTCTTTTAGCATTATGCATGTAACTTAATTGATGTAGAGCGCCTTGCTGTTGTAGCATCTCGGAGGACGGAAAGGCACGTTTTTCCCCAGGACCAGCGTTTCAGTCCCCGGAAGGGTCTCTGTGTTTACCACTGCCAGGATTGCACCTCGCTAGTTGAAGTTACTGTGGACTTTTTGAGTGTCTCTGTTCCCCTTTGAAAGCCATTCCGTGAAAAGCAAGCCTCAGTCTGCAGAGAATGAAAACTCATGGGAAACTAAAGGCTTGCTGTGTGAAGTGCAATTAATACGGGTTCTCGTGCTTTCCAAAGGGGCACGCTGAAGTCTGGCCAGCGCTGCCCAGATTGATACGTTAGCCCTTTGCTTCTTTTTTTCTTTTTTTTCTCTTTTCTTTCTGGATAACCTTGTAACATATTGAAGCCTTTTAAGGATGCCAAGAATGCATTATTCCACAAAAAAACAGTAGACCAACATATAGAGTGTTTAAAATAGCATTTCTGGGCAAATTCAAACACTTGTGGTTCTAGGCCTCACATCTGTTTCAGTTTTTCCTCAGTTGTATATTGACCAGTGTTCTTTATTGCAAAAACATATACTTGATTTAGGAGTGTCAGCATATTTTTTTTCTCCCTTTGCATCCTGGAATGCATTCAAGATCTTCCCAATACAGGGAAAATTAACAACAACAACAAAAAACCCTTATATATAGGCAGCAGCAAGCAGAGCCGTGTTCAAAGTAGTGATTATGGACTCACGTAAGAGGAAGACTGCTATAAGTTTTGGTTCAGTTTATCTGTTCGCAGCTGACCTCCTTGACTGGATATATTTTAGAAGCCGACCCAAACCCTTCGCCGAGACAATTTTGCCAATACCAAGTTTCAATTGGTTTTTGCAAACCATTCTGCAAGCCACTGGAATGATCCAGTGTGACACTCTCGCAGGATAACTGCTTCAGACGAGAAGCTGTTTGGTACTAACAGACTCCAAGAGATCATTAGCAAAAACAGCCCCCAAAGGCTGAGTGGTTTCAATAGAAGGAGAGAGAGAAGGTACTTGGAACTTGAAGCACAGATATAACACAAATAAGCACCAAGGCATAGGTCTAACATACTGCTTTATCACTGTAAACGGTACTTTTAAAATATTTATTTTTTTAGAAAGTATTTTTTTTAATCTTCCCTTTCTCTATGGGATGGTAAAAAACCAAATTCCATATTTCAGAAGTAAGATGATGAAATGAGTTTTTAAAACAGGAAACAGCCACGTGGGAATTACAACTTAGTAAAGGGATCTTCTAATTTACCTGTTCGTACGAACTTGACGCTTAAATCTGATGATTGGATGATATTTTATTTCAGGGAAACCTCGTCTTGTTAGCCAACTTAAAAAAAATGGATATGGGATGATGAAAGCTTGGGTATGATTTTTTAAAGACAAAAATGTATCCATTTGAATCAAGAAGATTTAATTCAAATGCTGTCTCAGTATTTCCAAAAGCAAAAGAGGAGTGAGGAAAATTGCATCTTAGGCCAGTTTTCTATGCAGTGTACAATTTACTGGGCTAGGAATGAGATAAAGATTATTTATTTTTGTTCGTATCTTGTACTTTTCTATTAAAAATCGTTTTATGAAATTGGCGCAGTCACGTGTGTGTTTAGCAGAGATGGTGTGCGTGGCCATCGGAGTCTGACGCGTGTGGGCACGGAGCACAATTATGGTTTGGGGCCGCCAGAAGAGAACATTCACATTCCAGGCGTGTAGTTGATAATTATGGTCGAATCTCCAGGATTTACTTTGTATTTTAATGCTCATTTTCCTGTTGGCTATTGCTAATCTTTCCATGTCTTATGTGTTCTGCTGTTGCTGACATAGAGGGGTTGTGTTAGGAGATTTTTACTCAGTGTGGACATTTAGCACAGTGACATGAGATGATGATGACATTTGAGGGCAAAAGGAGAAAATGATGTGGGGAGAGAAAAGAAGGTTCTAGAGAAACGGACAGAACCACCTGGAATATTCTGCAGGTGGCCTCTTGTTGCAGGAGTTTCCAGCCAGGTGTTTTGATTAGATGAGCTGCTCAGCCTCAGAACCATTGGCACTCGGGGCTGGGTAATTCTTTGTTGTGAGGGTTTGTCCTGTGTGGGTTTTAGCGGCATCTCTAGTCTCTACCCACTAGATGCCAGTAGTGCCCCCCATTTGTGACAACCAGAAATGTCTCCAGACA